ATTGAGATGCTGCTCCATTTTATGTATGCATGGCTTTTAAATTGTTTAATATTTTTTGAATTTTGGGCAATGAATTGAAAATTTCATTCATTTTTGTATGACGTGGCTGAATTCTAAAGAATCTGTGAACATGACTGCTTGCCCTTACAAATAACAAAACATGAAGCCAGTAATTTGCATGCTAAACACAATTAGTTCATTTATTTTGATAGTGTAAATGATATCTATCCAGACACCAGGCATCCTGCCATCCGTTAAAAATACAATCTGTACCAATAAAAACAACTATCAGCACATCACATCTTGCAGAAGACAGCCAGCCAGCCAGCCAGAAGTATAAAATCCATTCTCTCCACCCTTCCAATCCCCACAGGAAAGCCTGTTGCCTCAGCCACCTCACCTCTGTCAAGAAGTCAAATAAAAAGAACATCACACCTTAAGGTTGCTAGACTCGGATTATGACCAAATCACCACAGCCATAAATTTTCAAGGCAGATGGCCTCAGCTAAGAGAGGAATGTGGTCAGTTTGGGCATTTCCAGGCTCTCGCAGAAAGGCCTTCTGACAACTCAGTCTGGAGAGCCCTCCTATTTGATCTACCGTTCAGTCAGTAAACCAAAGTCCATGTCTCCTCAGATCTTTAAAACTCTTTTGACTTTCAGCTGTATGCCCCTTGTTCATTCTAGGTCTTATTTCTTAGGAGGTGGGGAATGGTGTTGTGGGTGGGCGGTTGCTCTCTGTATTCACTTGGGAAGTAACAAAGTGAATAGTTTCCACTTCAGGTCAAATGTAATTTCTGCCTGGACTCCTGCATGAAATTGTGCCCTTGGAACTACCTGTGGGAGCAGTAATATGAACACAAAAAATATAGCGATAGATGAGAAAATGTAGATGGGTGATAATTTGATGGTACCTGGCAGCATAATCAAGAGCTGAGACATCCAGGGCCAGTTTTGGCAAAGCACTCCAGGCAAGAAAGATTTAAACAGGTATCCACTCTGACTAGCTTTGGTTCTCTGAAGTGGTTTTAAGTCCTGAACGGCTGCTTTTGCAAAATCAGAGACCTTTAAGAAGTTAAACAGAGTCGCTTGTTGCTTGGGAAAATCTGGATTTAAACAAAATGATTAGGTATTAAGACAATCTTTAAAATCATCTTGTCTTTGTAAATAATTTCACAGCTACAGTTGTCTGTAAGTCTTGTCTCTAAAGGTAAGAAAAGGTGTGGCAGCTAAACAACTCTTTCAATTTGCTGCTGGCCAGGTCAGTAGTTCTTTCTGATTCATAAACTAGTGGATGCATTGAGTTTCACTGCATCATTAGGGTAGGATGTAGCACTGTCAGTAGCATAGAAGAAGCAAATGTTTAGCTGAAAGAGCCTTCAGGTGAGTCTTAAGTCCACTATAGAACATAATTTTTTCAGAATGGGAGTTAATCCTTTGTTAGATCTCAGTAGCCAATACAGAGGGGGCAATAAATTTCTGGAAAATTTAACTTATGTGCTAATATAATAGAAGGCATTTTATATTTGACTGTGTGATGGGCTAGAAGTCAGAAATCTCTGTGACCTCTTCTTTTTTCTATCTTGACTCATCACAGGCTAGTCCTTTAACTTCTTAGTCTTGAATCTCCCATTACAGTCTAGGGACACTGCTAATTATTGTCAAATTGGACATTGAAAGATTTCATTGTGCAGTTAGATTTATGTTAGAACTGAGGCGCTTCAAATAAAGATAGCCTGATTGTGGACTGGTCTTGTGTACAAGGGTACAGGCCTTTCCTTGCAGAGTCCTAGGTACAAATCAGGGAAAGGGCCTCGACTTTGAAAGACATTTTCTTATCCACATCATCCCACCCACATCAAATAAGTAGTGGGGCACTGGATGATGAAGAACAAGGACAAGTTACCATTAGGTAAGTTCTCAGCACATCACCTGCTATGTGGTTGCTGGCACGGTGCAGGTATGCACAGTAGGTACCAGCCTATTTGGTAATAAATAGCAATAAATGACATCAGGTGATTCACAGTACTGATGCCAAAATCACCATATACCATGATCTATTAAACTCCTAGTCCTGGTATCAAGGTTTTCAATGTTTGTGGGATTTTTTACTTTTTAGGGTTTCTTTCTCCCTTGATCAACTTGAGTCACTCTTCTGCTTTCCAGCTGACTAGATCTTACTTTGGGACTCAGACAAATTATTGTAGAATTTTCCACAGTGAAACTGCGACACAAGTTAGAATGGGTCACACTTCCAGGGTCCAGAGAATTGCATCTCAGGGACTTTTTAGCCATAGATGCTATCCTCGTATCAAATAATCCTCAAAGGATTTTTATTTCATGAACTTACCTATTTTTCTTTGAAACTACAAAATTATTGGCAATTCTTATGCTGTTTAGTATCATTTACATTTAGGATCCCACTTTTACTCTGGTATTACATATCACCCATCACTAGGGTGAGCTTTGAAGTAATACTTCTGCAGCATGTGCACATCTAGGATTTGTGTTTGAATGAGACAGACATAATAAATGTGCCATCAGAATAAGAAGTGATTTTCACATTATCGACTTGCTGGTTCCACTTGTAATTTTCTACTCAACCAAAAATGTCCTGAGAGAGTTTTAATGTAGTTTCTGTGCTGGCACTTAATTCCAGGGAATTCATTATAAGCAACCTCTCTGAGTTTTATGGCTAGCTTGTGCCCCTGTTGAAATAACTTTTTCTCTCTGTTAAATATCTAATTTTGACTTTAACAACCACATTACTTCTTGCTGTATGTCCCCTTGTGTAAACAGATTGGGCATCTGTCTCCTTGCATTGATTTTCTCCAGAAAAGTATCTAATGGTATAAATTGTTGCTCAGACCTTTTTTCCAGGATATAGACATCATCTTTCATTTCATGAGCGGAAGGCAGGCTGGAATTATATGGTATATTTGAACTGAGAAGACTGCTTGCTAAAAAATTTGGTTGTGTTGGCAGAGTTTAAAGGTGCATGATGATAAGGCCCAACGTCAGAGAAAGACAGTCAGAGACTGTATATGCACCATTGTATATACAATGGCTGTATGAATTCAAGCCCAGGCAAAAAAAAAGTATTTCTAGTAATGCTGTTTATACCTCTCCATTGCATAAAGCTTCCTTAATCAAGCTAGTGAGGTATTATGCTGTGTAAAAGGAGGGGAGTCTGGGTGTGCTGTGTGGGTAGCCACAGGCTGATCAGGTTTTCCTGTGGCTGCAGAAACTCCAAAGAGTTGTAATAAATTTTGTTTCCAAAGGAAATCTGTCGGCACTATCTCTGCAAAAGATTGAAGAGTGAATGTAAGCAAAGAAGTCTGTCTGGTAGCTAGCAAAGGAAGGAGCACCTGTGTCTTTTTCCTGAGTGATTTTATTACTTCTCATCCTACTGCTACAATGACGACCAAGCACCAAAACCGATCCTGCAGCCAAGTATTGTTTTCCAATGCGGGGTGGCTCTTCTACCCCTGCAAGAAAGAGGCACCACAGCAGGTTGGAGGATCTGACCCTCACTTGGGAGCCCAATGGGCCTCATCAATTAATACAAGTCCAAACAGTGACCATGGAAAGTGGATATTTCCTTCTGCAAGGTCAGGGTGGGCTGGAAAGAGCAGGGTTGGCTAGATCCCACTTTTAAAATAATGGGAGAACATAACAAATAGAAAGCTTTTTCATTTAGAAAACATTAATATCATTCTTATGAAATGTATGGTTAGCTGTGTTCCAACAGTACTGATTTTGTGAGATATGCTGTATGAAGGGAGGATCCATATTTTTTAACCTAGTCTCAAAAGCAACAAATGAAAAGCAAGAGGAAATGACCAACATATCTATGTAATCTATATAGTCTAGACTTGTTATTTTACCCCTTTACCAACTTCCCCTATCATTTTGCCAGCCTTTTCCCTAGCCAGTAAATTCTTGGGAACAGATTTCCTGCAGAACTGATTACCTGTCATTGTGCCACTCTTGTTATCACACCAGCTTGGTCTCTCACCATAAATTGCTCTGATACAAGATACTGGCAAGATAAGAAGTCTAGACTTTCTCTGTATGTATAATGTGTTTTTATATGTGTGTGAATGTGTGTATTTATGTTTTAATATATGTCAGGCCACTGGAATGGATCTGATTGGATCCGTCATTCCAGGACTTCTAGGATTTTACAGTCCATGGGCTGTGCTAGGTGCCTTGCAGGCAGATACTGAGACATCATTCCACATGCTCCAACCCAGTGTGTTTGTGAGATGCTTTAAAGCACAATCCATCAAAGTTTGGATTAATAAGAATCAGGGAGGGATCAAGGGAGTAGCATTACTCAGATGACATAGTACTTCAGCAAAGGCCAGCGCGCAGTATGCTGAAATAAAAAATAGTTTAGGTATCAATAAATAAAACATAGAAATCTAAGTTGGCTGAAAAAAAATGAAGCAATTTATCTTTTGCAATTTCCATATCTGACATCTAGAGGCAAATACGCTGCCAGAAACATCAGGGAAGAGATTGAGCAAGGAGGGATTCAAGCTGAACTTATGACTCTGAAAGGCATTTTAATCAGTTAGGTTCCAGTGTCCTGGCTTATATAAATGTAGGCTCGTATGCCGTCTTCTGCGCAAATAAAAAAAAAAAAAAGATAGAAAGAAGGGAAAGAAAAAAAAAAGAAGAAAAGTCCACAGCAAAAACATCCTAAGGGATTTTAATAACATGGCAAAGACATCAGTTCCAATAAGGATGGTAAAAAATACATATATAGAAGAGTTTTATTTTCAGGAAATTGATTCTAGTGAAGTATACTTTTTTTTTTCTCTCAGGTAAAGGTTCATTTTAGTTGAACTTTTTGTTGGTAAAAATAACAGTGTTGGTAGGAATGGGAACATTTTACATATGTTGCAACCTCATTACAGTTGTCTGTGCATCTCTTAACATGCAGAATCTCTTCTTGTTGACATTTCTGATTTTTTGTTATACTTTTGTGTTGCAGATATTGATGAATGCGCTTCAGACTCCCACCAGTGTAACCCCACCCAGATCTGCATAAATACTGAAGGGGGATACACCTGCTCCTGCACTGAAGGCTACTGGCTCTTAGAAGGCCAGTGTTTAGGTATGTTCTTCAGAAATGCGCTCTAAAAGCCCTTTGGTGGTTGATTATACTAGTTTAACAAAATATATATCTCTTCTGTCATTCCAATTGCCAAGGGTGCCCTATCATTGCCAAGACTGTGTTGTTGATTTAAGAGTTTACCAAGGTTCATATCTTCACAGTTTATCTGCAAAAATAGGAAACCTCTTGCAATATGGGACGTGGGCCTGTGACCAGCTAGGCTAGTTTTACTTGAGCGCCTTTGTCATGTACACAGCCAACCTGATGCTATGTGGAAACTCATGTCTGCCTTATACTGTTCAGTGCCAACAGTACTTGGCACTTAGGCTCCCTCGTGGAACAGAAATGCAGATGTGAATGCCATATGACGAGCGTCCATGTTACACATGGGATTTCCATATTCCCACTCTGAAAGGATCCCCTTTCAATTGAGATGAATCCCAGGTAAATGTACAAAAAGTCCAATCTGTCCCCAAACTGACATGTCCTTTGCACAGAGTTACAGCCCCAAAGACATCTGTATTTGATACCAAGAAACAGACTAGTAAATCCCTGGATTCACCCAACCCTTTTGCTTCGGGACAAGAAAAAAATAAATAAAGTAATTCTGAAGTGGATGCTGTTCTGTAGCTTCCAAGCAGTTTTGTTTTGGTTTTGTTATTTTTTTGCTATTTTCCTTGCAGCAATGTCTTGTCAGCCCCTTAGCTCAGCCCTGTTTAAAAAAACATCCCTCCGCAAACAGCACAGGAAAACATTCCAGGCCATTCCCTCACTTAGCGGGCCCACGGGACAGGGAAGAGCTGCGGCACCGCTCACCCGCCCTCGGTGAGGGCACCAAGGAGGGAACGCGGAGCGGCAAAGCAGCCTCGGTGGCCACTTTGCTACCAACTTAGTTCTCCCCGTTACAGCACAGATTTAGGGACTGAGAGCAGCACTCAGGGTTTGGATATGGATTTAAAGCACTTTGCTGCTTGATGGATATAGCAGAGAGCTGATGTGGTGGCTTCGCTCCGAACTGAGTATCTGGTTATGCTATTTAAAAAAGGCAGGAACATCCCAGTGCTTGATGTAAGTAATTAGGAGGTAAAGTATTACAAGGCAATGCAGAGGGGTAAAAGCAAAGAGTGTTTAGAGTCACTACATTTGTCTCTAAGTGTTGAAAACAGTCTCAGTTTTCCATGCCTTTCCACTGGCTTGGAGAGGTGTTTTTTTTGCTGGCATTAAGCAATGTAAGACCATTCAATGTAATCAAAGGCCTGGGCTGGGTTTTCAGAGCCAAGTTGTCTTGTTACACTGGTAGTATCACAGTTAAGAAAGGCTGTGCTTTTCTAAGCTGTGCTTAGAATAGAGTTGTGCTACAACTCTATTCTAAATTAATTCATGTTTAGAACAGACTCATAGACTCTATTCTAAATTAATTCAGCCCAAGAATAGCTGGTGCAGCAGTGCCCACGTGAACCACTCACAGAAAGCAGCCTTGTAAAGCAAAAGTCCTTATCCTCAAAACATAGCAGACTTGAAATATAGTCCTGCAAAACACAAAGCATTTATTAAAATTAGTGCATTGTGCCAATGTATGGAACATTAATTTGCTTAAAACCAGTGTCACTTTTTGCAGGATTTGGGCCAAGCCTGCCCCTTGTGTACATTCCATAGCTGACCCTGGCCTTCGGATTATCTTGCTACTTAGACTGAAGTGGAAAATGAAAGTTTCTAGGGGTAAAACTTAGTGTCAGTGTCCTTGTGTATTTTATATAGCGAGAATATTTCCAAGACTTTTGACATTTTCAGAATGACTTCCTGAGCTTTTCTATGGCAAAATTTCCCCAATAAGGCCAAAGACCTAGACTTGAATTACCGGATGTAGCTACTTACACAACAAATTCACAGCATTGTTGTTTTTATGATATTACCACATCATGTAAATGTTCAGGTCATTCGAGAATTCAGTTTCTCAAAGCCATCTTAATATTTAACACCAAAACAGGAAGCTGACAATTTAGCTAATAAATAATGAACTGCTGAGATTTGTGTAGGTAACTACGCGTGTGTATCCAACGGATAATACTGCCATTCTGATTTTTGCATGTGTTGGACCTTACGATGGAAGTTGCTTCATCCAAGGCTATGTCTTCGGGTTTTACTCGCTCTGGCAGACTAACTGGAGATAATAAACTTAGTTTTCTATTGCACTGACTTAACTTTATGCCAGTAGAACTGGTTCAGACTAAACTGATTTGAAAGAGGTTTAACAGAAAAATAAACATAGTATGTCTGCTAGGATGAGTATAAAGATTATAGGTCTAGTTCAGATAATTCAGCTCTCTGTTGGAAAGTTTATGAGCTGATTCTTGGGGTAAGGGGCACTCATAATTTCCAATAAATTAGATAGAAACTGCAGATTCTCAGCATCACTGGAAATTAGGCCAGGTGTCATTCCCTCATTCTGTCTTCTGCTGTCATACGATAGCTCATGAGATCCACAGGGATGGATATTGAATCTTGGTAATATTTGCTCTGAAATCTGATTTCACCGTAAGGAGAATCTGAACGAGAACTTTGTATTCAGAACCTTTACTAGAAGGATGCAAAGCTTTGTGGGCAGCCATAAGAAGCTTGCATAATTCAAAAGCCAGTTGATACCAAAGGAAATGTAAAGTTTTGGAAGAGACAACTGCACCAGGTCTTTCATTCCAGTTCCTAGGCAAGGAACAAGCATTTTCTAGCACGTACTATCAGATTTATTGGGTTCATGGAAGATTTTTAAGGTACTGTCATTCAGTAAATTAGCCCTGTTTATTTTACAGCATTTTATTTTGCTTATAACAGTCAAATATATCTATTTCTAATGTTACAATTCAGCCAAGACTGTTATTTAATTTTGGCAGCAAATTTGTTTTTCACATTTTATCTCATGTAGTTCGTTGGTTAAAGATTCATATAAAATGGAAATGGTAATGTGCCTATTGGGGAAAAAGTCATTAAAGAATATCATGTCAAAAAAAGAAGTAGTGCTTGGAGACAAATATTTCTTGCTCTTCTAGGTAAGCAGCTTTGGTAAATGCAGAGGTGAAAAAGAATTTCTGTCCTGATTATGACAAAACTGCAGTACGATGCTGGTTGTGCTTGGGCTGAGCCAAGCTACCAGGTGCACCTCAGAGTCACGATAAAAGGGACAGTCCCTGAGCTTTCTGATGAAATAGCACTAAGCAGAACGTTACGTGCATGACAGACGATTCATAAGCACTGATATACCTCAGATCTGTATAAAAATACACTGCTAAATTCTTTTGGGTAGAGATGTGTTAGAACTGGAAGTTTGACTGTTCCATCTGTGAATAATAGGTTGGCTCATTTCTGTGTTAACTTGTATAGCTGATTCAGTGTGTGTGTGTTGCTTTGTATCTGCACGTGAAAATGAAGACCACTCTATTTTTTGTCTTTTCATTGTAGACATAGATGAATGTCGCTATGGCTACTGCCAGCAGCTGTGTGCCAACGTCCCCGGCTCCTATTCCTGTACGTGCAATCCAGGCTTTACCCTCAATGATGATGGAAGGTCTTGCCAAGGTATAGTCTGTGATCAACCGCAAATGGAAGTTTTGGTCCCAACCCTTAAAAACATGCTTAATTTTTGGAATACAAATGACCTCCTAATGTTGCATTTGAAGTGCTTATAATTTTGTCTGTCTGGGATACTTCTGTAGCCCTCGTGTGAACTTAAGTGTTTGCCTTCACCTAGAAGGGACACAGGAGTGGCATGATTAGTATATCAGTAGAAATATGCACAGAGGCCCAAACCCTCTAAAATGTAGAAACTGAGCACTGAAATTACCAAGAACCAGCACTGTGAAGTACTTTGAAGCTATGAGACTCCTGAGACAGGAAATCCCAGACAGATCAGGAAATTAGACCCAAGTTTCTCAATCCACATTGTACTATTTTTCTCAGGTGTATCTTGCTGCATTTTGTTCCAGATCTTTGTAACAAAAATTAAAATAAAAATCTAGCTTCAAAATAACATGATAAACACAGAAGCTTTTGTCGTAAATACCCAAATGTTCTGCGTGTTTTTTAACTACAATCGGAGCATGTGTGTTTTCTTTATGGTGCTTCGGTTGTGAGTAACCATCTTCATCCATTAGAAATGAGATCAGGAGCCAACAGTCATGTTAAAGCGGAGCTGAGCTTCGCTGGTTTTATTAATAAAGAGTCAGCTTAAACACCAGCACAGTGTAGGCATTCCCAAATGCTTTGATTCCAGGCAATCTTGTGTTTCCAGTACGCCTTTTCCAGTCATCATCCTGAATTCCAATAAATAATGACTTGGCTAAATTTTTTTAGACCAAACCATTCTGCCTGCACAGCTCATCTCTTTCAAATGCTTCACAGAAAGGAATCGAAAACGGTGTTTTGGGAGAAGTCATTAATACACTGAGTATAATTTTCCCACAGATGTGAACGAATGTACGGGTGAAAACCCTTGCACTCAGACCTGCGTCAATACTTACGGCTCTTTTCTGTGCCGCTGTGAACCTGGCTACGAACTGGAAGCTGATGGAGTTAACTGCAGCGGTAACTATCTCCAGCTACTCATTGCTTTAATTGTGTTAAGTTTTTTATTTCCAATGTATCCTTCTGTAGATGCTTTTAAAAGAAGGCTTCTGCACTGGGCTATGGTTAGCAGCAGGTAACTCCAAATAATCTGATCTTTCTTCAAGTTAAAGCAGACAGCAAAATCCCAGGAAAGCACCATGGAGGAAAGCTGCAAATTATTTAAAAGAAATAAGTTAAATATTAGTAAGCTCTAAGTTAATGGTAAAGGATAAGTAAAGGCTTTCAAGTACTGAAGTGGGAGCAATAAAAATAAGAATATTTCTAAAATATTCATCCATGATTAATGAAATTATCATGAGCACACTGTTGAATGTATGTATTCCTCTTGCTCTAATGCTTGAATGCTTCTGCCTGAGACCTTCTCTGGTTTCCTCTGCCTGGCTCTGGCTACCTTTCAGAAACAAAACCTGGTTTCTTAGCATAACTGTTGCTGATCCATTCAGCACATAGCAGATAATTCAGTGTTTATGTCCCTATTTTTCTTCTCTTATTTTTGTTTTTATTTTATGGCTTCATTTTAATTGAAGGCAAATAGTTAAAGTTGTTTCTGTGCTTAATGTTCCCACAGCCTGATAAAATGAGAGAACCCAGCCAATATTTCTTGGAAGAAAAACACACTGGAAAATATTTGTTTTTTAATTTACAGTAAACAGATGTAACATGCTGTTTTTGAGACAGAAGACATGTGATATGCAGCATGCGTATAGATTAGTGCTTACAAAGCTATTCTCTGCAAACCTCCTTATTACAAGCAAAAGGATTAAGATTGAAATCTCTCAAGGGTCTTAAAGATTCAGAGCTTAAGTTAACCTAACTTAAGATTTCTGTTTCCAAATGGATTTTCTGCTTCTGAGTGGATTCCTGGGTCTTTTAGATGTTTCTGAGACCATCAGGGGCCTAAGCAAGGAGGTTGAGTGCAGTGCAACATAAGCATTGGCAGTAAGAAACGGTGACAAGAGGGTAGTGCTTGAAACTCCTATTTGCCTGAGAGCCCCCAGAGACCTGGGGGAGACCAGGGCCTCCACTCAGCCCTGGGGTGGAGAGCCCTTTCTGGGAGGCAAGAGCTGCACCTTGGCCGTGTCACTTGTGGGAGGAGGTTGTGCTGATGTTAGCAGGTCAGTCTGTGTTGTGAAGGACTTAGAGTGCCAGGCACAAGAATAGGAGAATCAAATTCAAGTCTGTTCTGCCTAAGCTGGAACAGAGATCTGAATGCTTCTGCACAAGCAGATGTCCGTCATGAGCAGGTTAAATTTCTCTGGATCTGCTTCTTTCACTTTCTAGGCAATCATTGGAGATAGCTGAGGCTCTCTAATCTGTTGGATCAATCCATGGACTTGCAATTTTTTTACCTTAAAGATGGGATATGTTCTCATAATTCAGAGAGGCAGAGATTTGAACTTGGCTCTCCTAGGGTTTTCCCTAGTCCTAAAGCTCTTCCACGTGCATTAGATGTGCTCTGCAGTGCCTACCGTCTTGTGCCCTGTGGTGAGATAGTTGTCAAAACCCAAAAGGGTCTAGGAATAGTGAAGATGCATCTGTTCTGTATGAAATATAGGGCACTCAGGATGTTAAGTGCCTTCTAAGCATTGGTTTTATGAATCTGGTGGTGCTGGAGCATTGTGCTGGGTCACCTAGAGAAGGAGTTTGATTTCTCAATCTCTTTATGGAGTCAGCCCTCGGTCCTTGTTTTGGCAATAATATGTTTTTTTTCCTCGGAGAATTTACTGGGGCAAGTCACAACAATAACAGGACTACGTAGGTGCAGAGTTCCTTTCATCTCTCTCCTGATAATGTGGTTGTGGACATAAAGTCACTTGAATATATTTTTACTTAAAATACTTTCCAGTACATCTGTACAAAACAGTGGATAAATGGACGGAGCCCAATTTAGAAGAAAGGGAAATTCAGTTTGAAGAGTAAAAGTGATTTGCCTGGGAGAGTCAATATGTCAGAGCTGGGAATAAGAACCTGGGAGTTCCTGGCGAGGACTTCGGCCTTTGTTTCTTTCTTCCCCTGAACAGGGAAATAAGGAAATGATTAACAGCAGCCTCCCTCGGTGTAGCGCCTTTGCATGTGTTTTCCCCTCAGTTAGCCATGCTTCCATGTGCAGCTCTGAAGTTCTTCTCACTTGAACACAGTTCTGCAGAATACAATGGCTGGTCAGGCCATGAGTAAATGGGTGGGAGGAGAAAGCAGGATTTCTGCTTTTAATCAGAGCTTTGCCAAGCGGCTTAGCTTCCTGGGTATCTGGAAGATGACTAGACATTCTGGTAGGTCTAATGCAAGCTGAGATGAGCTTGAAGTCTTATTGGAATGCATTGGAAATAACTGACTAAGGGCTGAGAAACATAAAACAGCCAGGGTTGGCTGCAGGAGTTCTGCTGGGACACATGTGTCTTTGGGAAAGGGAAGGTTTTTCTCCAGAAAAATAGAGAAAAAAAATCCAACAAAATCTCTACTTACAAGTTACAGTTGCAGCTTTGTTGCTTGAGCAGCCCTGACTCCGATGTAAAACAGAACTAAGAACATGGCCAACTGGTGACAGGTATTCTGAAAAGAAAAATAAGTGTTAGTGCCATACATTGTGTCTAGTAGCAGCCTGGGTTTCCCTTGGAGGAAAGGGTTTAACAAAGAATGAGCTAAATAGTATTTCACTAGGAAAAGCTCTGAGGAAATGGGGGCACCAACCTGGCGTCGGGGTAATAGGTGCCCAGTCCAGATCTGCTTGGGGGGCTGTTGTATTGACTGGAGCACCAAAGACTCTAAGCTTTGTTTCACCACTGCAGACATGGACGAATGCAGCTTCTCCGAGTTCCTTTGCCAGCATGAATGTATGAATGAGCCTGGTTCTTACTACTGTGTCTGTCCTTCGGGCTATATTCTGCTGGACGATAGCAGAAGCTGCCAAGGTAAGAACATTCCAGCCCTGATTAAAACCCGGGCGGCGCGGAGGGGACTGGCAAACAGGCCCTGTGCCTGGAAAGAGGCTTTCAAGGACTAAGATGCTTGGTCTTGGCATTGCATAATGAAATACTTGTAGGGGACAGTTATGCAATTCTGCTGAGAATATCATCACATGAATAAATCCACTGAGGTCACTTGGGGCACTGGAGTAAGACAGACATTACTAAGAAACAGCTACACAGCAAACCCCACAGATGCACTCTGCTTTGCACGTGTCTCTTCAGTTAGCAAATGCTCTGAGGCCAGAGACATTGAGCAGCAAATTTCTTTTTACTTGTGGGGCACTCAGTACCTGGGAGCACTCCCATAAGCAGAAATGAATGTAGTAAAGACTGATCTTAAAGCAGGATGCAGTTATCAGAATGCCACTTCACATGGTGCAAGGAATTTGGGACAATTCATTTACATGGAAGGTGTTTTTAAGGGTGATGTCTTGCACGGATTTCCCCACATTCGCCTCTCTCTTGTTTCTTGTGTTTTAGATATCAATGAATGTGAAAACAGAAACTTCACCTGCACTTCACAGCAAACGTGTTTCAATATTCAAGGAGATTACAAATGTTTAGATCCAGTCAGATGTGAGGAACCTTATCTCCAAATTAATGAGAAGTAAGTAGCACCCACAGCCACAAGAGTAAATTCTACCTGCATGAAGAATACTTAGAGTAAGATAAACAAAACTGCAGTTTTGCAACATGTGTCAAAAGAGCTATAGATACCTGCTGCTGCTGCATTTACCACTAGCAAGCTTTATAAAAAATAACCGATTGCAATTCCTTACCAAGCCAGCAGGCAGAATAAAATATGACACAATATGATATGATATTCAAGTGTGTGGGAACTCAGACTGTGGGAACTCAGAGTACAGAAAACAGCAAGGTTTGTAATGCAATAAGACATATAGTAGCATTACTTAGTTGACTCCATATATGCTCAAACGCAGTTTGTTTGGTAATGTTTGTTAATATGAATGTTTCCTGTAAGTATTAACAAGGTCATGTGAGAGAAGTAGTCTATAAACATTAGATGCTAGTTACTGCAGAATGAGAATAGTTGCCTACTGCTTAAAGGTTAATTATGTTGAAAAGGCTACGGGCTGATTTGCACTGTCTTGAGAATGGATATGTCTGAATGGGGTTGTTAGCATTGTTACGGTCTAAATTTGGAATTATTTGGTCAGTGATTCTTGCAGTGAAAAAAACCCCACATTTCTAAAATTTGCATATTTCTTCTGCATTTTGTATGTTCCTTTCTGGTACTCAAATTATTTAAACCTCAGAGAGTTCTCCATACATTGCAGTCCACTGATTTTTATCTGTAGTATTTGCAATCAAGCAAGTTGCTTGAGATTGCCTGGTAAAATAAGAGATTTTATGGAAAAGCAAGAGAAGAAGAATCCAGAGCTCCCAGGGCTTTATTTGTGTGTCCATACTGTCCTCTGGATGAGGCCACCTGAGGAGTGGGCACCCTCGGCCGCCTCTGGCTTAGAGCTGGTAGGGACTTAAGCTAGAGGCCGAAATGTCTTAAGCCTCTGTGTCTGAATTTCTCAGAGACAATCTCTGGAGCCCTTACAGATCAGCTTGCATCAAAGCTCTGGATTGCTAAGCTTTGTGCTTGGTGGCTTTGGCTTGCATCTGGATGTGACTGTGTTTAATTTGTGGTATACATCTGGAAGTGGTCAGTGTAAAGGCCAAATGAAGTCTCTGCATCTGTGTTCTCTGTGGAAGGAATTGGGTTTTTCCAATGCCAGGAACCTTTTTATAGGGCACTCACCAGAGGAACTGTCTGAAATTGGTGTCATTAATGGAAGTTGTGGAACAATACTGCAAAAGAGTATGTCTTTTGCTTATAATTCCCTAACATGACTTTTAGAAATGGACATCCTGTCTCACGACTTTACTGAAGTTCTTTGAAGCAGGCAATTTAGGGACAGCATGTGGTTTAGGGACATGGACTGATAGAGTCTGCTTAGGGTTCCAAAGGCTTTTAACAAGATCCCCTCCATAAGACTTGTAAGGAGATTTAGCAGCCCTAAGTGCTTTTAACAAGATCCCCTCCATAAGACTTGTAAGGAGATTTAGCAGCCCTAAGTAAGAGACCAATCCCTGGGCCAAATGGAGAAAAAGCTTAAAGAGAAGAAATTGGATCAAATTGCCAACTTTCGCAGTGGAATTCAACAAGGCTCTGAGCTAGACCTACTATGTTCAACATATCTGTAAGCAAACTGATCCAATAATGAACAATTTTGAACACACTGCACTTTAAAATGCTATCAGAATGGAAATGTACACTGGAAGGCTGATCTGCACAGCAGAGCTCCTTTAAGGAAAGTGGAGAATTTTTAGTGATCTAAGGAGACTAAAGATGCCAAAATATTTTAGCAAAGACTATAAGGTGGGGATATAGGTATGCCAGAGTGCAGTACAGATAATATTAAAAATGATCAAATTCGTTGCAAGTTTCTTTAACTTTGATAGAAAATAAAATTCTTTTATTTATTTCTGTAGCCTTATTAACATATAAAGATTTAGATATTATAGTTTTTTCCTAACTGCTTATGATAATCTTCTCTATTAGTCGCTGTATGTGCCCAGCTGAAAACCCTGGTTGCAGAGATCAGCCCTTCACCATCTTGTACCGAGTCATGGAGATGGTGTCCGGGCGGTCTGTGCCTTCTGACATCTTTCAGATGCAAGCAACAACTCGCTACCCTGGAGCCTATTACATCTTCCAAATCAAATCAGGGAACGAGGGCAGGGAATTCTACATGCGGGTGAGTGATGCCTGTGCAGGAAACCTGGTATATCCTCTTGTTAGTTGTATTTCTTTTTGATAGCAGAACTCTGCCTTTAATGAATACCATTTAAACATTCAAAATGCCATCTTTATATGCAGGCATACAGAGCAGTCTGCTGATGTGCAGGGTTTGTTGGCATTTTCAGGAAGAAAACCTACCCACAGCACGTGCACTTTGTCACGGACGGCTTGAGCTACATCTTTAACACAAGATCTGTGCCCTTATACCTTTTAATAATAGACCGTGTTTGCCATGCTCAGGAGAAACTGTTGTGCGAAACCCTGTTTTATTTACTAAACAAGCAGAACTTGCCACCTGAAGGCTCAACTTTCCTCAATTTTTTATTTTAACTTTGCATTGGAAATTAAAAAATCTGAAACCCAAAAAAGTAGGCAAAACTATGTTTAGAGGTGACCTTTTGGATTTTGTTTTTGTTTGTTGTATTTTTGTCCTCTGAGAATCCACACTTTACATAGATTGTGCTTTATAAAACAAAATATCCTTCATCAGAAGTTTTTTCAGAGACATCCCTGTCGCTCAGACTTTTCCATGGCACTTCTTACATTGAGGGAAAAAAAGTGCTCCCAGGAATGATCCATTACCTCTCACAAGATCTTTCCCCTTGACAAGTCATTAGTGATCCCACTGACCCTTTTCCTGCAATCTAGGTTAGTCTGTCACTTTTTAAAACTCCAATAAAAAATATCATCATCAAGGGTTCTTTTTGCTTGTTCGTTTGTTTGTGCTGGTGAGTCCACACCTTGAATACTGTATTCAGTTTTGGGCTCACTATAAGACACTGAGGTGCTGGAACATGTCCGGAGAAGGGCAATGAAGGTTATGAAGGGTCTGGAGCACAGACCTCTTGAGGAGGAGCTGGGGTTATTTAGTCTGGAGGAGGCTCAGGGGAAACCTTATTGCTCTCTACAACTACCTGAAAGGAGGTTGTAGTGAGGCAAGGTCAATCTCTTCTCCAGAATAACTATGGATAGGACAGCATAAGTAGCTCCAGGGGAGGTTCATGTTAGACATTGAAAGGAATTTCTACACAGAAAGAGTAGTCAAGCACTGGAACAGGCTGCCCAGGGAAGTGGTGCTTAGGGAGTCACCATCCCTGGCAGTGTTCAAGAAACATGTAGATGAGGCACTCAGGGACACGGTTTAGCAGGCATAGTGTTGAAGGGTTACAGTTGGACTTGATGTTCTATCTCAAAAGGCCTTTTCCAACCATGATTCCATGATTCTAAAAGCCCCAGGACAGCCCTTTGCGAAGTGTTCCCATGTCAAGTCCGCAGCCAGCAGGTGGAGCTTAGTCATTGTGCTGAGAGCAGCGTGAGGGGAAGGTGCCCTGGGGAAGGAGCAGGGTGGCCCATGATGGAGCTAGCACTCCTGAGCTAGGCCCGGTCTCGCTGCCTCCTCAAACTTCTGCCAGACTTGTGGTAACACGGATCCCACTCTGCGTTTTTGCTGGACAATAGACTACACTTCACCATAACATCACAACTCCTGATATATAAATACTCATAATTCACTGGTCTGGCCATTTATTTATAAGCTGAGCGTCCACTTGCTAGAAGCCAGATCCTCTCAAGCACCTGGCTTGATTATAGGTCCTGAACTCTTCTGAAAATCTGACCTACCGTCACCTTAACGTAATGTATAAAAACCTTTTCAGAGGGTAAGGTTTTGCAATGTTAACACATGTAAATGTAAGGCAAACTCTGGTTCCATTCACATTAGAAAAATATACAAGAACATCTGTGCTCAAAGATCTGCTCACATAAACTCTCCTTAGCATTTGCTACTTCAAGGTAACAGTGTTTGGTACATCAAAATACCTCGTCAAATCATCAAAATACCTCATCAAAATACGTCGTCAAAAATGTTATTATTTGTGCCTATATATATATATATAATATATAACATCCTAAATCTGCATGCATATCCTAAATCCAATCAGATTTATATATACAACATCTTCTTTCATGTGCAGTGCTCCCAAAGGGAGAAAGAAGAAATCATAGAAGGTGATAGTTCACAGAAAACACTGAAATAGAGCTGAATGCTGAGGTGAAGCTCTCTCCAGTACAGTAGCTTACAGTAGCTTCTAACAGTGCAACACAAAACAACGTGATTTTGGCTGTTTTAGGACCAGAGATCATAGTTTTCAAGAGTCGTTTTTGAAAATCTTACCTGCTTCCTCTTGTTTTGTGCACAGCAAACGGGACCGATCAGTGCTACCCTGGTGATGACCCGTCCCGTGAAGGGACCCCGTACTATTCAGCTGGACTTGGAAATGATCACCGTTAACACCGTCATCAACTTCAGAGGAAGCTCCGTCATCCGGCTGAGGATATACGTATCACAGTACTCGTTCTAAACCTTGAGTTTGTGCCCTTGAAACATTGGAAAAGACCTAACTCCTCCTGTGCAGAACTCTGTCAGTACATATAGCAGCTCGAAACCAGATCAGTGTTACCACAGATCCAGTGACCTAAGCCAGTCTGAGGAGGGAGGCCTCTCCGTGCACAGCCTCTGCCAGGATACAGACATCCAAAGATGTATTGTCAGCAGATCCCATATGATTCTCTCTGTGGTTATATATTTTAAGAACTCTTTTTTTTTTTTTCTCCATTGTAAACATTTCTAGAGTATGAGTCTATGTTTGAAAGACTGTGAACCTTTGTAGCTCCAAGGCTGCTTAGCAAAAAGCACCAAAGAAACTGAGGAAAAAGCTGGCTTTTGCAATCTTACTCTTTTCACTTTAAAAGGAAAGCAGACAGACAAGCAGAAACCAAAAGAAAAATGCCACTTCTTGAAACAAGGGATCTCAGAAGTGCTAACTTATATACCCAAGTAACTCTGGAATTATCAGTCAGGCAGTTTGTCTCAGTTCATCTTGCATTTGTCTTAGTTTCATCTGTTTTTCTTTCATTCTATTTTATAGCTAAAATTCATTGTAAATTCATTCCAAAATACATGTTGTACTATGTAATCTTCTACTTTCTAACAAAAGTGTCACATGTTTGGGTTCTTTACTGTATTAAATCTTTCTATATAATAGAGAACTTAGAAATCTATCACTGGATGTTATATTTTACAATGTTTAGGGTGGTATGTTTATTTGCACTTAGATTCTTCGACACAGGTTTCCACTGGCAGAATAATGTCCAATGGCTTTAGACCAGAAGATAGAACTTCAGATGTTCAAAATTTATTTATCAGGATTTTTCCCTCTGTAAGTTTGCAATGGTTAAGAGGTAGTAGGACTAACTGTAGATAATGACAGCAACAAATCTGTTGAAAGACCATTGAGTTCAGCTGAGTCCATATTTCTTCAGAGAAAAAAAAAACAAAAATGAAACACACACACACAAAAGGACACCTCTTTACATATAGTGTCTCATACATTCCTAACATTGGAGGAAAAAAAAGGTGAAATGGACTTGAAATAGTTGTACAGCACATGCTTCTGGCACAAGAACCAGCTGTGCCAGTGCCCAGACCTCCAGTGATGGAGTTCCCAGAGTTTCCATAGGTCATGTCTCCTCAGGTATAACTGCTCTGACCAATAGAAAGTTTTTATTAAAGTCTAAACTGGGTCTCCCCTGTTGTAATTTAAGTCTGTTGCTCCTCGGCCCACTCCTAGTAGAAGGAGAGAACAGTTTATTATATTCCCCTTTGCAGCAGTCTCTAACATGTCTGAAGACTGTTGTCATGTCTCCTCTCAGACTGTTCCTCTCTAGTCTAAACAAACCCAATTCTTTTGGTCTTTCCTCATACATCACATTTTCTGGACCTTTAATCTTTTTTTTTTTTTTTTTTTTTTTTTTCTTTTTTTTTTTTTTCTTGCTTTCATCTGGATTCTCTCCAGTTGGTTCACATCTCTGTTGAAGTGCAGTGCCCAAAAGGGGGAAAAGCATTCCAGCTGAGGCCACATAGTGCTAAGCTAAATATGTATGTGTGTGTGTGTATTTTAGGATTTTAGAAAAAAAAATACACACCAGTAATTATGCAGTTTGGAGGTATATTCCTCACTTTGTTGAAAGAACAGGCAGCTTGGTCTCTGATTTTAGGGTCAGGTTCTCATATAGCTTTTAAGTGTTCCTGATGCTGACTCTTCTGCTATTCCTTTCCACTTTTTTCCTTATTGGCTTGTTTGCCATAGACCAGGGCTAATACTAGAAATATTCATCTTTGCTGGCCTTTTGGGGGATTGGGGAACTGGTAGAACTTAAAGTTGTATGGAAAAGGAAATTTGTGATTATAATGCAAAGACACTGGAAAGCAGTCAGAGTGTTACATGAGATCTTCATTAAAGTGAGAGTTTAAAATCGAAGATTACAGATGCAAAGTTTTCTCACCTAGCAGACCACCTGACATGATCAGAAGATTGACTCTCTTGCTCTTACTAAGTTTCATGAGTTAGTCGGGGGTGGTTTTCTCCCAGATTTAGTAGCAATGGGGCTCTTTGTACTTGTACTCAGCGTGGAGGAAGCCCTGATACTTTGGCCCACAGTAACACAATGTTCTCTTCTGATTCAGGTGTGCTCTAGTGGTTTCCATTTCTTAATTATTCACAGTTTTCTGCCTCAAAGCTTTAATGGACCAAGAAGGGTGCAGGAAGCCAAAGGGTCTTGTGAGTAGCTTAGCTCAGGTCTCTAACATCTGAAAAACTGAAGAAAAATATCAGAAACAGGAATGTGTCTCTTGAGAGGATCATCACAGACCATGTCTTGGAGAGAAGAATGGAGATAACCAGAAAGGAGGAGTGACTGCTAAAACCAGGGTCCCAAAACGGCTTGTGGACACCAAATGGTGGTGGGGAGGTGAGGGGAATGAGGAGGCTCTGGTGGAGCAGAAAGAAGACAAGGGAGAGGCAGGGCCTTGCTTTGAAGGCATTAAGCTCTTCAACAGGCTAAAAGATTTCCCTGTGGTTAGAAGCTCTTCTTTCCCCCGTTTTGTGCCCCTCTATCTCTTCTGCATGCCCAGCTGAGGAGTCTGCTCTCTTCCTGCCATCACATCATCTCCTGGAGAGGGAGAGCCCTCTGTGAGATATGAGACAGTTCCTCAGTTCTGGGCTGCTCTCCCATGGCCCCCACATAGCAGCCTGGTTTAACCCTAACCTAGAAGCATCCGAAAACAGAGGAATTCCATAGCAAAACACTTTGTTAAAAGAGTAAAGCATGAATCCTTGGTTTTAGCATGGTCCAGCAAATACTTATAAAACAATATTACGCTTTCTATATAAACATTCTGCGCCTTAGAAAAAGAAAAGTCTGGAAACAAAGGAATTCAGCCACTTCTCAACCGCCATAACATCTTTCATCACTCACTATCACTCCAGCCAACTTTACCTTTGCCAAAATATATGCCAATCTCCAAATAATAAATTAGCAGCAGCTTATAATATCTAAACTCTCCATTTCCTATTCTGAGATCTGTTTCTAATAGACCGTTGCAGGCTTATATATTATAGCAGTTCTCACCAAATAAAAGGAAGGACTATGCAGGTCTGGTCTTTACATGACAAAATTTAAAAATGCAAATATGCAACTGCTGTATGTGTCTGTGTTCCCTTCTGAGGCCAGCCATCCCTAGGAAAAGAGAGATTTCCAACTTTAGCTGGTCAGAAAACTGTTCCTTCTTCTAACTTATTATGTATACATATTTAGGGTTTTCTAACATGAGGAGTTTTATTATATAGACAATATTCTGTTGAAATCCAGATGAGGGCTTCTCTCTGGCTCTGCTGCAGGGCTGTCCTGACCTGCTCCTCACTCAAGGTTACGAAGCCAATTCCTGGCAGGATCCGAGGGCCGGGTCTCCTGCTGCCCACCTGCCAGCTGTCCGCCCTATGGAGGTGAATTCCTCAGGAAGGAGATTGCCTCTCACTATGTGCTTGTACAGCACCTGCTGCCAGTGCCATAATTGCAGCAAATACAAATAAAGGCAGAAATGACAGTAGTCATTGATACAGATCTCAGCGATTGGGAAGGAGAGGCTGTTCTGATAAATGAGCTCAGTGATTCCTGCTGTTCAGGTTAAGGGGCACAGGGAGATCTACAGCACATCTGTGGCAATAGATGAGCAATCCAGTGCTGTAGATTCGAATGGATCCTGTCCCGGATTCTTTGATTTTGGAATATTTTTTAGGGAATCAATTTTTTTTAATACAAATAACAGTGTTCTTTCCATGAGAATTTGTTGGGTTCCACATTTTTCCACCTATGCTTCTCTGACAACAGCTTGGCTGCGATAACTAAACTTCTCTGAGGGTCTGGTGGCTCCCCATCGCTAAAAGTGTAGTATCCATTTAGTATGTAAAGCTGAACTGTTTCCTTATCAAAGGCTGCTCTTATATTTGTCTTTTATTGGCTCAATCTTTACAAAATTTAGTCTTCTACCCGTGACTCCTCATTCCAGACTGCATGTGAGAGTCACCTCATGAGCACAGTATTAGCATCAGCACAAGTTCCTTATTTTTCTCTGACCAGAACAACCAGAGCCAATATAATCAATAAATTTTCTGGTTCCTCAGATTCTCTAATCGAACATATTCACAAAACATGTCACTGAATCTTTTCTATAGTAAGTAGTTGTGCTAGAACCTAGTGTAAATTGAATAGTACAATGGTGCCTTTACATTTTGCCGGCTTTTATTTTTGAACAAATTGGGACTGCTTCAACACAAAAGTAGGTGCCAAACAGTTTGTGAACTGCTTGAAGGTTCAGGCTGATGCTCTTACCTGGGCTTTCTAGGATGCTCTAGAAAACCTACCCCCACAAAAGGACCTGTGCTGTGGGGTCAGAGTCTTGGGGAACGCAATGGTCCAGAGATACGTGCATCATGGACATCTCTGATCCAGCGGTTGTCTCTTTCCTCACATGATTTTGTGTGGAATGCACATGGTATTTGTAAGTGCTCATAGCACAGGGAGAAGTCACATCTATTTTGGACTTCATTAGTTCAAATTCTGCACATGTTTGTGTGGTTAATGAGATCTCGCATTCCTCTGGCCAGACTGATCCCCTGTGTAACTTAACTAATACTGTTGAGATCACATGAAGGAGAGTTTGGGTGGCAGGCAGATAAGTGAATACTGACACAGTAACATTGATGAAAGAGTTGGGGAACCTAGTTGAGAACCCAGGGGATTTTTAGAAAACACTTACTCTCACCTACCAAATATGCCCAGTCCTTATCTTCATGTCATTATGTCATTTAATTATTATATCCCTTGGAGGCTTCAATCTCTTTCAACTCCCTCCTGCACTTCAGAAATCTCTCATTCTGCCTATTGAGGTCATCCTGGTCAGATGATCTCATTAAGGTCATGCACAGCATCCACATGCTGGCCTAGCTCTTCTTCGATAGTGTTTTCTCACATTTCTCTCTCCATTGCCCTCTGATTTTGAAGGTAACAAATGCTGTTTCAGGGTCTGGTGAATCACTTTTCTCCTGCAACTGGGTACAGGGCCCCGGGCTTTTTGGGCAGGACGTGCTTATGTGATACCCCCTTGGTCTCCTCACACTTTGGAATGGGTTTTTCTAGTTTGCAAACCCAGTAATCAGTCTAGTCAGACAGTACAACGTGGTCACCACTATGTCAGTCAGTGAGGTTGCTAACCACTTCACATCAGATCTGGACTTGAATCCCCATGTCAGTGATATAAATATAAGCAGACATACTATTTTTGCTGTAAAATTGAAAGCTAGTTTCTAGCAATAAACAGTAGTGCAATTGCAGCATCTCTTTTTCTCTGGAAAATATCTTTGGATACTTCAGTATTTTTAAGATTTTCTCAGGTATTTCAGACCATTCATTGGTGTGTTTCCATGAATTATTCCATGCCCCTGTTCCTCCAAGGCCAACACAGGCACTTTAAGGAGCTCAGGCCACGTGCAAGGTTCTTCAGAGTCATGGCTAATGCACTGATCATAGAAACTGTTCTTTGAGTTATCGCTATAATAGGTAAGGAATCAGGCTGCCTTCTTCAGGACGCCCCAGTGTTCAAAATGATGCATGTGCATATGTCTGGAGACCTCATCAGCACCTTTCTGCAAATGTTTTGTATTCAATATGTGAAAGCATAGCTACAAAGGTTATTTTGACAAAAATCCTCAAAACAGATGGTGCTATGTGTGTCCTGGCTGGCTATATGTAATGCA